TCGTAGTCGTGTGTGTGTGTTGTGTGTGTACGTAGTAGTAGTGTGTGTGTGTGTGTGTGTGTGTGTGTGTGTGTGTGTGTGTGTGTGTGTGTGTGTGTGTGTGTGTGTGTGTGTGTGTGTGTGTGTTGTGTGTGTGTGTGTGTGTGTGTGTGTGTGTGTGTGTGTGTGTGTAAGCCCCCGGGAGCGGGTGGTTATTGTATCTGACACAGCGGCTCTTTCTCGCGCCTCATATTTCTGGGCCGATCGATTCCTCTGACTCCCGACAAGACAATAATCGCACCTCCCTCTCTCACTCCATCACTACCATTATTACTGACCTCCCCAGGGAACGAGCATCGAGGAGGGAGGGAGAGAGGGATGAGGAAGGAAGGAAGGATGGAGGGAGGGTGAGGAATGAGAAGGGGGGACATAGAGTTGACAAAATGAGCCTATGATGATGAAAAAGCAAAAAGGGACAGTGTTGAATATGAGGCGGCCGGGAAAAGGGACATCAGTGGAGTAGAAAGCAGGAAAAGGAGGGTGAGGAAGTTGAGATAAGGCGATGAGGGGATGACAGAGGAAAGAGAGTGATGGAAAGTATGAGGAAAGGAGGAAGGAAAACAGCGAGCATTATAGATCACGGCGAGAAAAGGAAGGAGTGCAGAGACACAGAGGGCCGAACGGAGGGACAATAACGGAGAGAATTAGTGGAGGAGAGATGAAGGATTCGCACTATATTCTTCTAATAAAGGAGAGAATGAAAGACAGGGACCGGGGGAGGCAGATAGAGGCGGGAGGAGAGGAGGGGGGTTAGACTGAGGTGAGAGAGGGAGAGACAGAAAAATATATAGGAAGACACACACATTTAGAGCAATGGCTGTGGAGGTCAGCGCTCAGAAATATTATTAAATTGACAAGAGTACAATAGTTGATTGGCAGGCTGACTCCTGCACTGCCATTCAGAGGAGAAGAATAGAGACTCTCTCTCACACACACACACACACACACACACACACACACACACACACACACACACACACACACACACACACACACACACAATCTGATAGTGGGACCCCAGGGAGGAGGATGGGGGGAGGCTGAGGCCTCTAGAGCGCCATCAATCACTCCTCTGTCAGAGAGAGAGGGAGGCAAGGAGGGAGGGAGGGCGGAGGGGGGGTTACTAAGAGGAGGAAAAAGAGGAATAGTAAAGAAAAAATAAAGGAATGGGATGAAGGAGAAAGAGTGATGGGGATGAAGGTGAGAGATAGAGAAAGGATATTTGCTGGGGGTGAGGACGCAGTGTGTGTATAATGGGTCGTTGCAGGGACAATTCAGAGGGTCTCAAACCAGCTCCGGCCCTCCGATATCTACTGCAGCCTGAGGCCTGAAGCACACACTGCCTCTAATTCATATAATCCATCATATTCCTCTCCTTATAGAGGGGACGGTGACGGACCCGCCAAGGCCTATGCACAGTTCGACAGAAAGACTCTATTCTGCAAGGTGAGAGATTTAAAATCCAGTCCAGAGTATAGGTGTGTGCAGGCGTGGCCCCATGAGGGTCTGCAGGATTATAAACAGTAGGTGTAGCGCTGTGGAGACTACAGAGGTTGAGGTTTTGTATGAGAAGCAGCAGGGGCTAAAACACACTCTCACTGTTGGCTACCATGGGACCCGGCGCCATCTCACACGCTCACACGCGCCGCCTACACCTTTACAACACCTCTTCCTCTCCGGCCCTAATACCTCTCAATCGCTGCCCTCTTTTTCCTGCGGCCCCTCCATCCTTCTCACACCGTTCCCCACCTCTCTATATCATCTCCCCAGCCCATAGGGAGCCGGGCTAGTCTAGACAGACACCGCTCTCTCCCACGGCGCGACCAAGGTTGAAGCTCAAACCTTTTTTTCTTCCTCACCCCCATCATCTTCCTCTTGTTCTGGCACAAGAGCAGAGGGTCTTCT